ACGGATGCTATGACCTTGGATGCGCACGTAACAGGCATTTGGTGCGGGCAAATAGGGGGGGGTGTGGGTAACCTTAGATTCAGTCCAGGAGGTTGGTAACCTGCCCTTGTTCGGCTTGCGCATCAGCGAGATACAATCCCCAGATTCCAAAACCAACGTCGGATTATGCTGGAACTGCTCTGGACGGCAGTCGGGGGGGTTCCGTGGACACTGCACTCCAAAGCTGAACTGTGCACGCGCCAGAGCCTTACACCTTACTTGCGTTCAAGATGTACTGGCAAGACAGGGTAAAGGGTTTAGGGTTCAGAGGGTTTGTTTAGGGTTCAGGGTTTAGGGCTCAGAGTTCATGAAGGGTTGCTGAATCCTGAAAACTTGAAAGTCCATCGCCAACCCCCAACCCCAGTCATTACTGTGGAGGCCGGAATAGTTACCAATATCATCTCTTCGAACATTTTTAGGGATTATGCAGGGGTGTACAGGGTTAGGGTTTTGGGGTTCAGGGTTTAAGGTGGGGAAGCCCAAGCAGTTAGAATATTCGAAAATTTCTCCCAACGTTGTTCCCCAACCCGTGCATGTAAATGCATCGTATCATATGCACCAAACCCTTGTTTTCTTATAAAACAAGCTAGGGATGATATGGCGGCGAAAGAACATAAGCAGCATTGTGTTTTGCAATCTTTTTGCTCTCCCCCCCATATAGAGTGAGATTACATCCTCATGTTTGAGATATTTGTTTTTTTTGTGGCAAGAGAAGAACCTAGCCTTGCTTGTTTCCCATTATATCCCCATATGCCCCTACATTTTCCTATATCCGTATAGATTCCCATATATCCGGAAAAAATTGGGCGTAAGGCCAAAGGCTGGGCTGTCGTGCCTCCTGCTGGCAAATGTAATGCCTCCCGTTGCAGGGTTTAGACCGGTAACCGAGTCCTTGTCGGATGTATTTTTGCAATTTTTTCTGCAGTACTAAAAACCGATACATATAGATTTATATATATATATAGTTATACGTGTTAGTGCTATCCCAGTAAGGAGCCCAAGCTCATTTGTGTGGCAT